GGGGAAGATCGCACGAAATTATGCCTGAATTTGTGGATGTGCATCCTTAGAATTTTCAACTTACCATACTAATTTAAATATAAGGAATCTCAAGACGTTGATTTTTTTTTTCTTTTTGGTACATGTCTCAAGACATTGATTGTATGGGACATACAAGTCCAAAGCTGTGTCTTCTTGATTATCCCTGTACATGAAAAAGAAGTCCCAATTTTGCCAGCTGGAAAGGTGTATGAAACTTTGAAAATAGAACATGACTCAACTTCTTATTAATTACACCTGCCCCTGTGACTTTGTTTTTTCTGCTTTTATTGTAATTGGCTCTATTACAAGCTACCGCAACTTTGAATGTCCCTTTTCCTTTCTCTAGCAATGCAGTAATTAGAGTTTGGGGACCAACATATTGAATTGAAGAAATATTTATTCATATGATATCTAAATAATGTTCCAAACTCATTAATTAATGAAAGAGCCAATTGGCAATTATCTTATTGTCCTAGCTAGTGATAATCTTTTTCTCGCTTTTTCTTTTTTAAATGTAAGAAAAATGAATTAAAAAAATGTTTACATAAAAAAAAAAATAATGTTTTGTATCAATAGTGGAAATGCAAGAGGTTTTGAGTTTAGGTGGTTAGTTTATAAATAGAATAAATTAATGGATGAAAAAATAATTGACTTTTATTATATAATGTAAAATTAAAAAAGAAAAAAAATATCTTTACTTGGTGTAGTGCCATTCAAAAAAATAAAAAATAAAAACAATTTCTAACGCTAATGGACGACTTAATTAATTGTATTTTTTCAATTATTTCTTCAAATATGATGCCTCCGTCTTAAGAAATTTTGAAGCAGATATCTTCTATACTAAATACTATATATCGATATTGACAATACTTTAAGATATCTAATTTGACTGATTTCATATAGCGTAGAAATTATAATTTTCCTTCACTTATTTTGTAATCTCCCAAAAAACCAAAAAGTTTAAATTTTATTTCTTTTAGGTAATAAATTTTCTCTACAAATTAAAAATATTATTAAAGAAAAATTTAAATTTTAAGTAAATTTTAAGAAAATTACGTAATTAATTTTTTTA